TATTGTATTCGAGCGTATTTGTAACCGGAGAAGCTGTCTGCGTCCAGGTGCGAGCGACAATTATGAAAATTAATGAAACGCCTCACAGACCGCACGTCGTCTCGCGGCCTGTTGATTAGCGAAAATAAATAACTGTAATTGAATATTTAATTCTTGAGAGCCAATTAAATTTTCCTGCGTAGAAAACTACTTATGGCTGAGACATTGCGCGAGGGGTATGTTTACCGGCATACTTTAGTTTCCTGCGCATGTAGGTAGGTATATGTTAGTAAATGTGCAAAATACGGATTCTATTGCGTTTTTATAGGAGCGTTCGACATGGATTGTACATATTTTTGAAAAACGATGTCTGTTTTGCAGTACCTACTTGACATCTTGCTTTCAAATGCTATCATTATTGTCGCTATTGTAGCCCCTATTCACTATATGTGCGGGAAGCAAGTAATTTTCCAATGAACGCTTTGGTGTGAAAGTTGAGACTCAATAATTTGTTGCAAGATATTTGAATATCCACAGCAAAATATTGTCCAACATACAAAATATGGAAATGTTGACAACGTTGCAGTGTGTAACAGATAGAGATTTCAATGGATTTTACAAACTATGCTTGAAAACTGAGAAGGGAATGGAATACTTTACAGCCTCGAGATCTTCGTGGATATTTGAAATATTTTCGAACGGGTTTAATAAGTTAGTGTACGTAGTGGAAAGGGTTATCGGTGTCCTATTCAGATTCTGAATTCAAATGTAGAATTTATGAACTGGTAGATGGTTCTTTGACCTGATACCAGAAAAGAGCTTGATTCGGAATCTGCCTCATTGAATTTTGGCCCTAAAGCATTTCGCGAAGCAAGTTAAATGTTCCCATAACTGAATAACTTGGCAATCCAAATTGCATCGTCCCCGATAACCTCGCTACAATGATAGAACGCAGGCAACAATAATTCTTATTAGCGCTATAGACACCTGTCGTGTCACCCGATACCTCGCGCTTTACATAATCCGACCGCGCACCTGGCTGCGGAGCCAAGGACCTGGCCACCGCGTGATCTTTTGTCTAAATCGGATTTTAACATGTTAATCAATAATAATTAAACTCGGTTTTGGTGGAAGAGAAGTCTATCTACTCTGAGGTTGGGTGTTTCACCTCATGGAGAGGGGTGATGCAAGTGCTTCTTGGAGAGTAATTGAAAGCATAACTAAATCCTTTCAGTACATTAATATAATTTTTTTGAGTAAACAATGTTTTGTGTTCTTTACTTAACTCCCTTGGATATGTAAGTACCTATACCTACGTCCAGTCAAATGTTAAGTACGCGTAGTACGACAAACTTTTCCACATGTAATAATTAAGTATGCTAGAGTAAACAAAGCAATTATTTCCACAATTAGAATTCAAGTTTATTCATTAGCATATTCGTGGTTCCTTCCCATGCATGACCTCAAGAGCACCGATAAATAAATAGACCTGTCGGCTGCTCAAGTGTTGCCAGTGTTTATAATCCACTAATACTTAACGTTGATGCATACTACCGTTCACAGCGCTATCTGATTTATTACGTGTCCGAAGGATATTTCAATTAGTAATCTACTGAGTCAGGGGTATATTTTCAAAGCTTACAGTGCTAGTGGTGCGTTTCATAGTATTTTTTGCACCGCATGAATGAATATTATTTAATTACTCGCATGTTCATTGATACAGTAGATGTATAAACACACCGCTACCGCATTACCGGCGATGACTCACGACACTTGACCGAACACAGCGAGGACGCGATATCGAAGTTGCTGGTGGGTGAAAGATGCACGCGCCTCCACTACATCACCGAGATAATCTGTTCGGTTGTGCGTCATGACGCGTTCGAGTGTTTTAAGTAACGAGTGTAAACTAGCCGGCGAGTCTGCAAGCGAATGTCAAAATATCCTCCTTAAGGCTAATTCGGAGCGAGCAATTTATGCGCAGCCCACGCTCGCTGACATACGGCGCTCGCCTCTTACAACCCTTTTATGTACAGGATTTATTGAAGCGACTTGCGCACGCTTCATTGAGCCGCCTGTATACTCCTGGCCATTTGACATGTAACTCATACTTATCGCGATTATGACACAATGCCGTAACTGTGAGGCAGAACACGCCACGCATCACGGATTGCAAATTCTACGTACCACAATCAAACAGTATAATTCCTTGACTCTACCAGATGTTTCTCCTAGTAAACATTTCGAGACGACATTATTTTATAAACAACAGATCACATATGTATTCCATAAACAGATCGTGAAAGAAGTATAGGACGGACGTCGCCAATACTTCATTTCTCTGGCGAAGAGTTTCTGGACGGTGGCCAACGTTTCCGAGAAAACGAGGGAAGGTTACGAGATGTCTCGCCTTACTTTATATTCCTAAATCGTGTCAAAGATAAAATTTTCAAGTGTATTTTGTTAGAAAAAAGTGTATAGGATTGCCATTTGAGATAGGTGTGAAGTGGGGTCTGGCAGCGGTGTCGGGTGCAGAGATTGGGCGGGAGTGGCATCCGTGACGGTTTCTTGGCACTATTTACTGTTAAGGCAAAAGTTATAACGTAATATCTGCTTGGGTGTTCTTTTGGAATGTGTGAGGAGTTCCTCACGTTAATTTGCGTTGGTTTGGGATGGAGGAAATTACGATGTGAGCGGTTAAACGAGTTTGTGGCGCGCAAGTCGCGGCGATGCTGATTGTCGCATCCGCGACGCCGGCGCCGCCACCCTCCTTCCTTATTATGGCGACGCGCGACCATTTTAACAATATGCCTTTAAATTGCAATATTACCAGGATAATCGAATGTCCCACAGCTAATAGAGCTTATGAAAGCTTCCTCCTCACAAACGATTCTGCAGAAATTATAAAATTGAAATAATGCTTGCTTGATGAGGTGTTATCAAACTGAATAAGATTTATAAGTTCCTCGTGATTTGTCCAATGTAATCGACTAGCAGTATTTGACGTAGACAGTAATAAACAAGCTACTGATACTACGTCCATGCTAAGAATACTCAGTTTCGTTCATTCCGTTTGATTGACATAAAGATCAATATGTTCTCACGCAACATGTCGCCGCTTATCAATGCACTCTGAGTGAGGTTAATTAAATAGTTACGAGAGGAGATAACAGTGACGCCTATTTATATATTTATAAGGGCCGGGCCACGTTATCGGGCGCCGCATCTGATAGCCGATCCTATCGACACCTAATAGCCTGTCTCAGCAGACAATATAATAATACATTTTATGCAATATCACGTGTTCATTTCGGTACTAACCGAGTGCGATTTTGGGTAAAAACAATCATTCAGTAGGTGATCGGAACTCCTGGAAAAGTGACTTCAAGTTCAAAAGGGACTTTAGTGAATTTTAAGCGTTTTATTAACAGTGACTTTTCCACGTAGTGCATAAATCTTCTTTGATTCTAGTGCGTGTGACTACAATTGTGGCAACTAGGACGTAATCTCATAATGTCATCTTTTTGGAATACTTTTAAAATCCACAGTGACTCTACTTATGCCTTAAATCATTCGGCAATATTATTCTCCTGCTTTTGTTATGGTGGTTGAAAGGCTTTCATAAATCAAGGATTATCGCCACGGGAACTGTATAAATAAACCTATTTGCTGACGATGTTGTTCGGAGAATCTCACCTTTAGATTACAGGAATACCCTACTAGTGTTGTATTTATGTCCAAGTGGTCACAAATAATTTTACTCGAATACGATAAAAGGTGTTTGAGTAGAGAAGAGCTTTTAGAATCGATTGAAAAAAGCTCACTTAGTTTATGACTCTTTATTATAGTTTGCCATTGAACTAGATCTTCTTAGAAATTATATTGTAAACTATAACAATTATAACATTATAAGAGAGATAGAGATCCATGAAGATAAAAGTAATTTCTAATTGTTTCTTGCGCTATATAAAGTTGACAAAGGCTCTAGATTTGGATGTTATAAACGCCAAGCAATCACTACAGCACTAGTAGGTACTACCGCGCCACAAAGAACGGCTAGCCCGGTCACCTGATGAGACGAGTTTTTACTTTTGAAGTCACCTACTTGTTTTGTACATTTTAACACTACAACTGCAACTTTTATTTTTAGATGTCCGCTCCAGTGCGGTATGTAAATGCGCCTTGTTAACCCGCGTTGTGCAGCCACCAGCAACTTACTTGCACCTATGTATAAATCATTCGAGCATTCGATTTTAATTCGCTTAAATGAAATTTTACGACGCGCAGTTCTTCACTGTGTCATAAATTCAACTTTAAAAATATTGTCAGACAGAGCGCGTTGTGACGTACCTATGCCGCGTAGTTCAACAAGTATTTTTAAAATAACGCATCGGTCATTCGTTCATAGTATAATTTCTTGTAAAATTTCATTAACTTATTGCATAAAAAGTCTACCTAAGCAACTCAATTAGGGCATGAAATCGATAATATTGAACACAGAATGGGCAGTCTCTGAAGTGCATTATAAATAGTAAGTGTAGCAGTTAATCGTTTTTGCCTCTACAGTGGAGGCTAAAATATGGTATTTCTGATATACTTGAGGCTGTACTAGACTCTAAACTGCATTACTGAAAAATTCTTTATTTTTCTCAAGTGAATAAACTCCCGACATCAGGACTGTTTTAGACATACCTAATATAAAAAATTGATAATACTGATAATATAACAGCCAAATTTTTTCATTGTATTGAAATTGGGATAATAAATTCAGTTAATTTCTGGTGAAGTAAAGTACCGATATCATCACATCATATTATCTTACTAAAGAAATGTTTTGTTACTTCAGGAGGAAAATCGATGTAGAGTTGACAGCATTTCAGACTTTCAATTGTTTTTTGCACAAAGTACATTGTACAATTTGTTTCTTGACGTTTGTTTTCGACGAATGACAGATCTTCTTTTGTTATGGAACGCCAGTTTGTTTTTTTTTCCGATGAATGACAGCTTTTCTTTTGTTTCAGAGTGCCAGTTCGACAAGCAGGCACGAGAGCTGGGCTCCACGTGGTTTGCGGACCTGGGCCCGCCTTTCGGCGTGATGTACTGCTTCAAATGTGAGTGTTTACCGGTACGTATTAACTGAATATGTTCAGCTGCTGTTTGACAGAGCGTGACAGTGCGCAAGAGGTTCTAGGCTCGTATACCTACCTGTGCTGGATTTAGTCTTATAATGTCTAGTGGAAGGCAACAGACATAAGATTCAGCCAGCTGTAGAAATTGAATCTTAGATTTATAATTTAAATAACTCCGCTATTTATGAACTGGGTACTTAAAAATAATTTTGAGAATGCGGGATGTAAAATTGTATAGTATGGCTTGCTTATTCCTCACTAGGATTTACAAAGAAAAATAGAGAAAAACTAGTCAAATACCTAAAGATATTGTAACATTTCATTAGAAAAATTGAATAAACGGCAAAACAATTGCCCGTATGTGAAAGCGCGTTCGATATTAGACAAACTTCTACGTATCATGGCAAGCTTTTAACATGAATACTAAAGTAAACAATACTCCGGCACAAGAAAATGTATTTTCTATTACGTCTGAGACGAGAATGCTAATTAATTAGCCATTACATTAAATTGGTACGCAAACACATTAAATTCCAGATGCCTTTACCTACGCTGTGTTACGCTAAATGATTGTTTATTTTAATAGATTACACCATTAATCAATTTCGTCCATTGTCTGGGTGTAGTTAGACAATACGTAATGTCGAAATTCTTAATATTAATGGGCTATTGTTTTCTAACATTTGTTCATGAATGAGAATAGGTCGGTAGAGCTAAGTTTTTGTAAGTATATCGAAGTAGGTAAACAGAATGATTGAAATAATTAATATCTAAAGGCTTATTATTAAGTCAACTGTACCAGTTAATTGAATTTAGCATAATTTTTATTAGCTGTTATTACGTGACTCTCACATGGATTTTGTGTGGCAAAGATAAGCTATGACGTCACTAATTCGCTAACTCAATTGACTATTTATTGATTTTAAAACTACTATTATTAAATGAATTTCATAGCAAATTGAAAAGTAACTGGGTTTTTAAACTAGAATGAAATGAACTTTCAAAGAAATTTAGTCTTTAACTTATTGCAATAACTACTCAATTGCACTAACCGTAGTTGACAAAACACTATATTGTAAATAAACTTGCTTAGAAATTGAAATTTAATATTAAGAGTAAATTCTGATTACTCAATGTTACCTAACCGTAATTATTATTTAACAAGTTTGAAAAATTATTTTATGATTAAATGGTATGGGACTTATGTATAAAGTTTAATATGCTGAATTTAATTTTCGTTATTATTTAAAATTTTGTTCACATTGTCTCTTTTAATTATGCGGGATTTAAAATCGACACCGTTGTTTTTCACCTAAGATGAGAATCTAAACATATTTTTATACAAATCGAAACCATCAGTCGTTTTTTATTCCGCTTATTTGCACAAAGCTATGGTAAACAGAAGCATCTTGTTACTTAAGTTTTTTCTCGCGTATTTTTACTTTCAAACGATACTGTATCGTGTTAGCGCCTCATATTGAATAAGTGATAAATAACAAGTAAATAAAACTCGCAGTAAACGATGACGGCCTGCAATCTTAGCTCACACGGTGTAGGCGGCGGACCCTGAAATATCGTGTATTAACTCCTACATCTCCACGCGAATTTGAATTGTATTTTGTTTTGTTAAGGTAAATAATAAAGTACCGACAAGTTATGCTTCAGTACATTTTTCCATATTATTATCATTTGAAACGTTACTTAGTTGCATATTTGCTGCGCTCACGCACACCATAAATAGACGCGTATCTTTACATTATTCTATTTTGGCAACTAATATTTGTTTTAGTTGTTCTTGAAATATTTTGATAGCCAAGAAAAAAACATCACTTATGTGTTATTTAAAGTTAAACAAAAACTCCTTTTATATACGTTAGTTGAATGAACCTGAGATACTGTATTTATGCAAATGTTAATGTTCTCGGATAAAATTCCCCTATTGTAGAGGGATATTATATCTAGTGGATCACCATACTCTCTTGCAGTAGTTAGTAATGTCTAAAGGCTATACGTCACTTAAAAAGTTTACCATTATAAGCTAACTAGCTGAGCCCGCGACTTCGTACACGTGAAAATAGTTTGATAATATTTTCTGTTTTTGCAAAATTTTTCTTTACTGCTCTGCCCCTATTGGCTGTAGGGTGATGTAAACCCTTCCTCTATGAGCTATGTAACACAAACATATTTTTCAAATCGAACAAGCAGTTCCTGAGATTAGCGCGTTAAAACAAACTCTTCAGCTTTATAGATTCTCCAGTATCATAACTCTATTATTTCCGACTACAGGTGCAGAAGAAGAGGCGAGTGGTCGCCAAAGTGAGGTGTCGGAACATCAAGAACGAGTGTCCTGAGCCGTCCTGCGACACGCCCGTGCTGCTGCCGGGCCGGTGCTGCAAGACCTGCCCTGGTGACGTCAACTGTAAGTACACTTTATATTCACAAAATACAGGGTGACTTAGTAAACAGTATCCAAATTTTTTAACAAGCTCTACATAATATAGAACAATTTAACAAATTACAACTGTGTCTTATTTATTTTTAGTCGTGGTATTTTTCGCAAAAAAAGTATTGAAAATCTAATTCGCTGGTGTCCATATCTTAAGTTTTAAAGGATAACCCTTATTTTCGCACATCATTATATCTATTAAGCTTTGCAGTTTACTGTATGTACGTATTTTTCTATGAATGAAGTAAATTAATCCACGTAAGCCAATTTTGAAACAACATGTTGTACTTTACGCAACTCGATTAAGTTACTAATTTTGAGGCTCTCCTAATTTAGATCTAAGATGCATGACGAATCTATTTAATTCCGTTATTACATAAAAATACTAAAATAGAATATGACTGCATGCATTGAATATTTTCGTAATAATGCCTCTAGATTACGTATAAAAACATAGGTAATGTTTGCGATACGATGCGGTATGGATGATTTTGTCGCTCGAGAATTTGACTGGTAGAGAATGCGACCCGGAATTAATTGCGTCACTTGTACCTAACCTGCACAATTTTAAATAAATAAATAACTTTTCAAATAATATTAACTCATAATACGGCTGGACCAAAAACATATTACTCGTATGTTCAGTATTGTATGGTATGTGGCCTAACAATAGCAAAAGAGCATCGCGATAAGCATACCACTAGTATTAATGATGGACGACCCGACCAAGCCAACTTTTGATTGCGCGAAGTCATCGCTGATCCAATGCTAATTTAAACGAGGCTGAACATCGATTATTATACTTATCCATCTATTGATTTTATGAATTTATTATTACAACTAATTTAAAAAAAAACGAACTATTGCAAATTGCTCTTATTAAATAGAAATAGTTGTTGATAATCTTCAAACGGGTAATATTAATAAATTAAAGTTAAGAAGAACACTTAATCACGTCAGCTTCCGAACAAAAAACTGCACCAAAATCAGACCATTCGTTTAGAAGCTAAGATTATTTCACGTAAGAGGTTAAAAATGTTGGCTATGCAGTTAATTTCACCTAATAAAAATACGCGCAAGCAATGATGTATGTACAGTCGAGGTCAAGAACTAAAATTGGATAAATTTCTCAAAATACCTGGTCACTAAGGTTATTATCGACGTCAGATAATTTTGTTGATGACCTTGCCTTAATTACAATGCCTTTCTGTGCCAAAGTACCGCGAAATACATTAAAGTAATTATGTATTTTATTGACAGCAAATTGCTTCTCACATAACTACACGCACGAATATAAGGGCATAATAATATGGCTATACTCGTATTGTCCCTCTTATATGTATGTATGTGCAAATGTTCAGACTTATTGAGAACAGATAGATAATTATATAATATTTATACTCTACAAATTCAGTGCTTTTTAATCTGTGGGTCGCGATCCATTGAAGGGGTCGCGAAGCATCTATAAAGGTTCAAAAACTACCTCAGTAAAAAAATCAATAAAGTTATAAAGATAGATTTATCTGAAATGTAATTATGCAAATTTTAATGCGTAAATGTTATATGGATTGAAGTATTTGGTCGCTACAACATATTTTGTAACATTATAAAATGCATGAAAAAAAAAGCGAACGGTCGGGGGGGTCGCAAAACATTTTTTCATACGAGGGGGGTCGTGTCATGAAAAAGGATAGAAAGAGTATAAGTAGTAAAAATACAATTCAGATGACATTTTTAGTGATATGAATGTAGTTTCATTAATGAATGCATGGTCTTCAAGTCAAAATAAGTGCCGCACGTTTTGTATGACAGTTTTTGTTGTCTAAAAGTAAATAATCACATCTACATAATCTGTTACAGATTTTAACTTAATTTAGATCAAGGTAAAAATAATGCTTATTGCTTAGTAATTAAGAATAGAAATGTATTTATATTTAGTTACACACTGTTATTGTGATAATGTTTAGTATGCACTAACCTACTTTTAATAAAATACCTAAGACACAGGCAAACAATTTTGCTTAGTTTAGGTATTAATAATTTTACCTTCGCACACTAACCTTAATTTAAGTAAGTGAAATCAAATGTATCTAGGCTAAGTTTTATTAAGTAATAAATTTATTCTTATTCTTATTCTTAATCATTTTAATATAGAGAGGTTTTAGCGATAGTTACACATAATTTGTAAAAAGCTGAAATTATGACAGATATTTGACTTTGTATTCCTTAGATGGTTGAACTCTACATTCGGCTGGACTTTATTAATGTCTGAACGCAAATCACATAGCTCATTGCGGCATCGCAATTGTCGCTAAACATTCGCATGACTTTTAATTTTCTAAATTAATGATGTCACTCATGTTTTAGGTTACTGCCTGATGTCATGCCTTTTTCGGCGCGATATCTGATATTCGGCCGTTTCACAAATGAAACGCTTTATTATGAGATAATAAACTTGCTCATTTAGCGCTAACAGACGTCTTAAGTTGCGTTTTACTGTTTTATTGATTATGGGAATGATTTATAAGATACTAGCTGTGCCTGTGACTTCGCACGCGTGGTAGTCGTAAATCATTCAAGACTGCATTTCATTTGCATGGGACTGCATTTAGTAGAGTCCTTAAGCTCTATCTCGGGACCAATCTAAAAAGGTACCTTAAATTAATGTAAGATAATGTGATGTAGCTGCAATGCAAAAAATATTAAACAAAAGCCTATTATAGTCTTCGAGAGCATGATAACATACATAAATGGCATATGCTTACAATTAACAATTTGAAAACTATGTTTTTGGATAGCTTTTAATAAGATCCTGGCTCCGACTTTTCTGTCAGTGTACAGAATGACACTTGCTATAGCTTTGTATGTATGGATTGTCGTGTCGATTACATTGGAAACGCGCCGCCGACAGGTTAGTGACTCACGGGCCATCTGTCGCGAAAACTACCCGCGCGTGTGGAAATCGACCGAGCGACATCGCTTTATGGACTTTTTGTACGTATTCTCTTTGATCATCGCCATTAATATACCATTTTCGGGCTGCCCGTCTCGCTTGTGTAATATGACACTTCCTCGGTTCGCTCAATTAAAACTATCTATAGACACACATAACGCGTTATTAATGGAATTAATTATGACCGCACCGCGAATTAATTCTGTGAATTAATAATCATTATCATAACACAAAACTATTATCATAAAAACTGTCGCGATGGGGGTTTGAGCGGTAACTTTTTGATTGTCATCATTCATCATTCCATTAAGTGGGTGCGCATTTTTTGCGGAATCGGCAAATTTGCCGACTTTAAAAGGTAATTGCAGAGTGTAAGAAAGTATGCGTATGCGATGTGACAGGAACTCGCCGATGACAAATGACAGTCGGGCTGGCGAAGCGGCGCTCCCACGATTCACTCTCATCAATATACATTAGGTATAGCAACTGCGCGCGGAGGTCCATCGTTTGCACCCACTTCGGTTCATCTTTGAACTGGACTCATTAAATAGTTGCGTGGACTTTCTCCGGGGAGCATCGCGATGATTTATGGTGTGAGGTTGGTCAGTCGCGTGTGGTTGCCGACGTCGCGTCTGCGAGCCGCGTCCAGTCATTAGGCCTATATCGAGAGCATTACAATGGCATTACTCAGATGCACCGGGCGGTGGTGCAGAAATGGCACGCGCAGGTCCCCCCGCGCGCTGCTGCAAATATAGCTGCTGCTGCTGGTTATTCCGGGCGCGGCCGTCGACCCGCCGCCGCGACGCCGTCTGCGCGCCTTTTCAGCGAACACTACTTACAACACACGAATTTTTTGCGAACTAATATCCCCCGATGTCAACGTACGCGCTCTTTTTTCATATCTTAACTCGCATTCTGCAGACGGCGAAAAATCTGCCCGGGTAACGACTCCGATCGCAGTTTGTTTTGAAATCATCAATTCGCCACTTTACGCGCTTAACTCGGCAATAAAATTCGCCAAACAAGAGCCCCATCACTTTTATTGGTTGGCAAAGCGTCGCCGCATATCCTTACGTTTTCCGCGGCTGTATTATAGAAGTTTTCGTTTTACAAATATGGCGTCTATAATCTCAAAGCTCCGACAACGCGAAATTCTATTACGCGCCGTAAAGTCTATCTGAGGCTCGTAACTATAAAACGCATCAAATCTGAATCACTGTAGCCTTTGTGAGAATACCAGTTGGCCGCTTGCCGTAATAATATAGTTTATCGTGCTTTTAATAAATCCTCGGTACTGCAGGACTGTAAAACGTATATTTTTTAATTGAATCCCCGCCAGGTGTTGTTGCAATAAAACTTAATGAATTTCATGCTCATACCTGCACGGGAAGTGGGGTTGCAATTTCAGCGAAATGAAATAGTGGTTAAAACGGGATTTCTGTTGTTTCTTTATATCCTATCTAACTAGGAAAGCACCGCTTTGGGTTTATAACTCTACACGTATATCAAACACGTTTATGTGTATGATTTATTAACGATTTGCGTGGTGTACCTGCCTAGATGCCCGCTAACTAATATAAATCATGAAGTAGTTTTTCGAGTTATCAGCTGCTATTTGCTCTTCCGTGCACTTGATAATTTAAACGACAGTGACAATTAGCGGTCGCTAAGTGTACGTAAACGTGTTAATGTTTGTTCTGGTTTAAGAATTGCTACATACCTACTTTTATTCTTGAAACGATATTATGAATGAATGAATTATGTTGTAGTCTTTTGCAACAATCTGTTGAAGGTGAAATGGAGTATGTTTTCTTATAAAGCGTCTTTAAAATCTGTCTAATTTTTAAACCACCTAGATGCGCGTTTAAGTTTGTAAGTACGTATGGTGATCGTAAGTTCCAGTTTCATTGGTAGTGGCGGTAATAGACTGTTTAGGATATCACATAAATAATATATTCCCCTAATTTCTATGATCTAGAATTAGAAAGGTAAATAGACGGAAAACATCCATTTAGATCCA